AATAGTGCCACTTTGAGTAGTGCCTCCCACGCATTAGTGCTTTGCAAAACGCCATGGTATGGTTATCATACTTTCTATACGTGTTCATACACGTGTGGCTTCAGAAGTAGCAGGACTGCAGAGTCGAAGGTGCGACGGCAGAAAGCGGGGTGACGAAACCTCATCCGTTTTGCCTATAAGCGAAACCCCATTGTATCGCTTGCTGAGAGCATCTCCACCGCGGCAGCAAATTCGGTCCAAATATGATATTTACCAAATCAGGGTAAAGTTTGGTCTCCACCGCGACACCAGAACGCAAATTGCATCGTAAATCGAATTCTAAATCGGCGTTTAGAGTTTTTCTCCTGGCAAATCAGGCCGATTTGCAACGAGACATATCCCAAAGCGATGATTGCCACGAGCTCGTCACAAGCTGATTAGGGCGCGCGAACATTAATTCCGATTAAATCTCACAGTAGAAACACCTGGGGTGGCGGGAAGCCAGCTAGCAACTACATGTGGGCGCGAAAAACAGAACAGCTGGTCCTCAAAAGGCATCCGAAATCACGTCATCCTCGTCATCGTCTGTAAGGAGGTCCTCAATGTCGCACTCGTCATTCCCCTGCGCAGCGGCGCTGCCTTCGACCGCCTCCAGCGGCGCCATCGGTTTTAGGGCGCCAAAGTCGTCCAGAGAGTCCATATCGTCCTGCGGGTTAACGAGTGCGCGCGATAGAGACGAGCAGCGCCTTCGGCATAGCGCATTGCAAACAATTTGGAACATGGGGTGCCCAAAGACAGCGACCAGCTAGAAAACTGACACGCGTCCTACTTGGAATAGATTTAGCTCCAGCGCTGGAGATGCTCTGAGAGACACATTGAAAACAACTTTTGAACCGTTATGAGACCTCCCACTCAAGAACCACCCTCGCATCTCAATTCCTCTCGAACTTCTCGTACGCGACTCACCCTTAATGAAAAATTGAGGCCGGTCGCCTACTCAAAATCGGACACTCCCCCAACCACATCATGAAGAAATATTCGGTCTCGGGGCGCACTGTAACAAATATTGCTACAAATCTTGAATCACTGACGAAGAAAGCAGAAACCACGAACGTTTCCTTCACAGCCAAGACTGTGAGGGAGGCCCCATTCCCTGTACTGGAATCCGGCATTATGTCCTTCATATTTCTTGCCCGTTCTGCCAAAATATCTGTCACGCATAATATTATTGCGGCAAAAGCAATATACTTGCGAGAAAAATTATTATGTAAAGATCTACCTGAGTCACAAGCATGTGCGCTTCGTCAGTTTTCTGCTTCACGCAGATGGACAGACAAATTTGTCAACATACATGGCTTGCGCTCTGTTTCCCTCCATGGTGAGGCCGGTAGTGTTGGCATTTCAGGCGTCGCAGTGGGTATTGCTACATTGAGTGCCAAGCTTCGCGAATATGAATTCCTCGGCGACCCTCTCCCTTCGCGCAACGTGGCCACAGGCCGCACCTCGGACACACAACGCACCGCAGGTGACCACCTGGGCACATGGCTGCAGCGGCGCGCCAGCGGCGTTATGCCCCCAGCAGCCCAAGCAGGCGCTGGCGCACGGCTTCGACGCATCACCTCGCATCCATGAAGCTCTTGGCCAGCGCGGCTCGCGGGCTGGACGCTGTGTGGCGCAGGCCGGTCCCATTGCACATGTCGTACAGCACGTAGCGTCCCATCACCTACAGCGGGCACGGGATCTGCTGTTTGACTGTAACAGATAATATCTGGGCGGGGCGTCTCAGGGGTAGAGGGTTAGAGCGAGTGCAAGGGAGGAGAGAGCGGACAGGGGGACACAGGGACGTTCGCAGCTGTCGCCTGTTGAGAGGTACATTAGAATTCCCCTTCAAAGCCTTGCGTCTCTGATCGCTCGCTTCAAGCAGAACACAACTGTATGTAAATGATTGCGTTTTCGTGCTTTCAGTATAGTGCCATTCACGCAATAGTGCCATATGTCGAGGTCTGTTCCGGTATAGCACTATTGCGTAGGGCCCTCTGTAAACACTTTGAAAAGGAACCTGCAAGGTTATCAGGAAGGGTTAACAAGTGCCTACGAGAAGATAATACACAATGTACACCGGGGACGGTATTTAGTGTCAGCGCTAAATTAGTGTCACCACGTAAATAGTGTCACTGACACTAACACATGTCAGAGCCCGGGACGACGACGGATCAATCCAGACATAGAACAATCCTTCCTTTCAGCCGGACCCATCTCACTGCCGGTCCGGAGGGATGGTAGTGGTATGCGATTCGTTCGGTTCGTTTCGGGAGCACTAATTTGTGCGCGGGAGTGGAGATACGCAGGCATTTATTACTGAAAAGCGTTTTGTACTAAGAACAGGTCAACTGGTCGGTCTTTGGGCTGGTGTATAGGAAAAGGTTGGGCGATGCAGAGTTGTAACAAGGGGCATCTGCGATAAGGAAAGAGGAGGGGAGGGGGGGGGGGGGGCAGCGTCAGGACTTGTGATTAGAGGCAGGCATGTGAGGTTTTGGTAGGACGAAAAGAAATGCTGTAGGCTCTAATGGGATCGAACTTACACTATTCATTGTTACGTTTGACAATATCAGTGACAGTAGTACCGTTTTCACTGAAATAGTGTAAGTACGGAAATAGTATCACTGACATTAATATATGTTTAGGGGTCGATATTTCCATAGCGGAAATGGTATCAGTGACACTAAATACCGTCCCCGGGTGTACAGTACAGAGAGGACTCGCCCAATAGTGCCGAATTGAGTAATTCCACGAGTGAGGGTGTGTCTTAACATGCCCCGTTTTGCTGCGGTTTGCTTTGCCTTGCCCAAAGAAGTGACTTGGCGTGCTATGAGTGGCTCCTACGTTTTAATTTATGTGTTTAAGAAAAGCAACGGCTTAAGAAGCATACGGTATTTGTTAAGAATTTAAAAGTATTCCTGGCAAAACCGGGCAAGGCAAAGCAAAAACCAGCCTGTTAAGACACGCCCTGATGCAGGGTTTTTGCGGTGAACACAGGTTATCATACCTTGCATTGCTGTTGGACACCTGTCCAAGACGGGGACGCGGCCGACGGAGATGCCCAACAGTAAACGGATCATCCTTGTCATTGGGACTCTCTTGGTCCTTACAGCGACGAAGCCCGACCGGTCTTGACTCACTTCTGTCATTGGGAGAAACTGCAATTTGTGCAGTTTTTAGTGTCAACTCCTGTGAGTAAATAAAGCGCCGACGTTGGTCGGGAAAACGACCGATAGGGCTGCTTCCACCTTTCACGATCCTTTCCAACAGACCCCACAGATCCTCTCCGTCTTACTCCAGTGACACGCAAGGGCACCGACACAACCACAACACAGCATGAAAAGACGAGTGCAGATGGAACCAAAGGAATAGAATCAAATGAGTGTGTTATTCCAGGTTTTGAGGAAGTACTTGCCTGCTTTACGGGAGTGGAGGAAATGGTGAACATTTCGGGTATCGAGGATGCAGTTCGTCATTTGCACCGTGCAAAGCGCGCGTTGCTAACTGCCCACGCTGAGCAGAGTCGTTCCGAGAGACGCCAGACGCTTGTAAACGAGTATTTTGTGTGACCCCATTCATTAGTGCAAGATGCGAGTGTTGCATGTTGTTGGAACCTTGCATGGGGGTGCACTACTCGGTGTGGTTGACTGTACCGGTACAGTATGCAGGTCAAGTTTGCAGCCGTTGCGTGTGACAGAGAAACAGAGAACAAACACTGCGGCTATGTCGGTAGAGTATTCGCTGTCTGCGAAGGTTCGTGAGTCAAACAGGACACGAATAAGAAAGGACTGATTCGTTACGGTGAGCGTCCCGAGTGCTGTACCATGTGCTGTGCATTCGCGAAAGCTTTCTCCGTTCAATGTGGAGCGGGCAGCAGGCTTCCAACAGGGTTCTGTCTTCACCGGAGGGACACGGCAACGTTGTCTCGAATATTGCAATTTGTACACGTGTTCAAGTGAACACCCTTCATGTGAACACCCTTCATGTGAACACCCTTCATGTGAACACCCTTCATGTGAACACCCTTCATGTGAACACCCTTCATGTGAACACCCTTCATGTGAACACCCTTCATGTGAACACCCTTCATGTGAACACCCTTCATGTGAACACCCTTCATGTGAACACCCTTCATGTGAACACCCTTCATGTGAACACCCTTCATGTGAAAACCCTTCATGTGAAAACCCTTCATGTGAAAACCCTTCATGTGCACCCTTCATGTGAACACCGTGGTGAAGAGTGCCGGTGCGCGATGTCGGGATCATAATCCTAAAAGGCATGCACTGCCGAGCCTGACGTGAACAATCTCACCAATGATGGCTTGTTGCGTTCAATTTCAATAATAAAATAACGTCCCTAACAAAAAGCGCATGGTTTATCCACTCTGTACCCTCGAAACACGTCTGTCTACATTACTGTATGGCCAGTCCTTGGTAATGGTCTGTCGAATAATGATACTCCAAGTGGCCGTTTTTTGTTTGTAGATTTAAACTTTCAAATATCACCCAGCTTTGTTTTTTGCGAGGGAACATTCGCTTGCTCGGAGCTGCTAATAGTTTGTCTCCTCCAAAGCCAACAAATTCGTCTGTCAATTTGAATTCTCCACCTTTTCCCTCAGCCGGCAGTAGAAGTTCGCCGGGCTCAAGTGAGAGAACACATGCCGCACCCTTGGAATTAATATAGACATGCACGACACAAGCTTCGACCGCGTGGCGGACATCCTCGCCCAGACGGAGGAAACTTTCGCGGGGATCGTGGAGCGTGCGGACAAGTACGAGCGAGCGACAGTGGAGGGAGCGCGTCGCGTTGAAGAATGGGCCAGAACCATCATCGAGCAGGACAACCAGTACGCAAGTCTCTTCGTCACAACAGCCGACGAGATCAACGGTAAGCTCTCTCGCCCTCGTTTGCCCAAGCGTGAAGCATTTCAACTCACGCGAATTTCCGAAACGAAGACCTAACGATGATGCTTTGTTTTAATGCTGGCTTTGTCCATAGAGAACTGTGCGCGCGAACAGGAACTGGAGAAAATAGCCTTACAGACGATAGAAGAAAATCGGCGTGAGGAGGAAATGTATGCACAGGAAGCGACGGAGCTCGAAGGCGTAGTCGCAGAGCTTGATTCACAAAAGAGCAAAATGCCAGAAGACCAACAGCGACTGCAAGAAAGTCTGCGCGAAAAGCGCGACGTCGTCGAAGACCGTGCACATCGTAAGTTGTCATTCCCATTTATGTTCTCATGCTGCGCATGTCAGCCAAGTTAAGCTCGTGACTAACATTGATTGGAATCTCACCTTGCGAACGTATCCACAGAGGTTGAAGGGGCGAAACGAAGGTTAGACGGTAAAATATCAGGCTTGCAGGACGTGCTGAACAAATTCCAGGACGCGCTCGGGTTGAAGCTTGAGGTTATCGATGACAGCCACGTGCGATACATATTTGTCTGCATTGATCCTTCGGCGCACGATCGGACGTTCTCCGTTGCGACAAAGTTTAACGAGGGCGAGGGACTAATCGGTACGTCTTGCTCGCATCCGCGCGGCGCATTCCATGGCTAACAACGCGCGTGTAACGATTCTAACAGTCTGCATGCCCCTTTCCGACGACGCAACGATGGGTCTGCTAGGCACCGAATGCGTGCCGATGGTGCAGAAGTTCGGGGAGCTCAAGGAGCAGCTTCGAAAGAACGGCGAGCTTGTGCCGTTCCTTCGAGATATGCGGAAGGAGTTCCAGCGACTCGCCATGTCAGAGTAAACAACATGGGGTTGATAAAGGGAGGAAACGATAGTGCGACGAAAGATGTAGCGGTTGTAGAGTTTTGTGTGCCACGAGTGTATAGAAGTGTTTTCGTCAGTTCGGAGTGATGTCAGTGTTGGGTGATGATGCGGACTGTGGGGTTGACGATTTCTGGCGGTTGCGGATGTATGCGCCATTAACCCAGTCCGGGCTGGAAAGGTGCCAAGGCAATGTTGTGGAGGAGGGGAAAGGGATGGAGTCAGGATGTAGCCAGTCTGGTGGGGGGTACAAAGTACAAAAGTGGAAGGGGAGTGACTTACTCTGGTCCGATATCGCGGCTGCCTGAGTTATTAAAAGCGCCGCGTCGAACAGCGTCCGGCTTGAGCGGGCTTTCCGAATCGATGGCAGGTTTTGTGGAAGCGAAATGGGCGAGCATAGGGAATGAATAGAGAGTGAGGCCCATGACGGAAATGAAAGCGGCGGTACGCATGCGATTGGCGCGGGTAAAGAAAGAGGACATGGCGGCGGTGGAGGGAGAAAGAGAGGGAGCGAGGAAAGGTGTGCACAGGAGACAGTAAGCACTTTGGCGAGGAGATCGGAATTGCCTGTGGGAAGGTGAAAAAATGGCGTCCTACTGAGGGCCATTCCATTCATCGTGATTGGCAATCATGCAATCACGCAATCACGCGATCACGACATTAATTTAACGTCGTTCTGCAAGTTGGAGCACAAGATTAATTTTAAGTCGATTGTTTATTTCTTTAATGAGCATGACCATTTTTTTAGGAAACGTAATATAAACAACCAACCACAAGGGAGCAGGCACCATTTATTGACGTGATTGCGTGATTGCGTGATTGCCAATCACGATGAATGGAATGGCCCTGATGAAGTGTCTATCGGACCGTAAGTCCTCATAATATGAAAATAACTTCTGTATTGTGAGGGCAAGAGTTATTTTTTCTAGACAACGCAAAGCGCGATTTGACTCCTGTTTTTTAAACGAGGAGTCTATCACCACAGATAAAGCGTTTACTTTTCGCTAGCACCTTTTCTGACGAAAAGGTGCTGAAAAAAAAATTTACAGTAGGCATTTTTCTTTAAGCCATTTTTATACCAGTACTGGAGCACAGCAACATTGCGTTGAAGGCTTGCTATTCAGTTCTAACTTCAGAAAAATTTTAAAACCAGTTAATTTGTCCGAGTTTTTGGGGAATGGCTCCAGCCTTGGAGTGGAGGGCAGGGGAGGTGGTGTTTGTTTTCACGCCGCAGCTCACTGTCGCTTGTGGCGTGTGGAAGATGGAAGGGGGAGTGGGTGAAAAAATGGGGGAGGAAGTTTTCTCTTTGAGCTACTCAGAAAGCTCTTTGATAAATTTTCACGCTCGCACAACGCAGCAATAGGGGGCCCACCCACTGCGCCGCTTCATCCGTCAACCGACATTGAGCAACAACAATTGGCGGTGTTGTCAACCGTGATCATGTGATGGTGTAATTAGGATCTCTTTCCATTACAATGACACATGCCACGCCCGATAGAGGGAGAACTTGGACATTCAACCTGGTGCCTACCACTGAAGGGGCGCGTGATATATGGAGCGCGATATACGCCTTTTTTCCTCAAGGGGTGCCTACACTGGAATTGACACGCTGAACTAGGGGAACAGTTACCAGAAACCATAGCTTAAGTATTGTAATTCCTCGACCTACTCGGGGACGAGGGTAGCGTATGTTTATTGAATCTTGGTTTGGCGCAGTAAAGTGCTGAACGCGGGGTAAGAACATACCGCGATCTGTGTTGTTGTTGTTGTTTCTTCCACGCCTCGGCATTCTCTAGTTAGTGAATAAGCTCTAACCTACTAGGGAGCGCGCTCGCGACAAGAGAGAGGGAGGGAGGAACGGCGAGGAAAGTCCGAGTAGTTGCTTGTTTTGCTCAGTCCGACAACATTCCGGAACCGTCGGCTGGCGCTGGACTACGGCAACTAACTTGGTAAGATGTCTTCACACAGTTCAGGCGAAGGTGACCCAGCTAGCCGTCTCGCGGGGCCTTCCTCGGTGGTACGAAATCTGGCATGGAAAGCGGACGCGGGATCCGTGAAGCAAGAGTACATTCGGCGATGGATGGAGGAAGTGGTCACGAAGAACACGACGGGAGAACAGCTGTAGGAGTCTTACTTGGAGCTACTCCCACCGGAGACTCTATTCTCCAAAGAAGCAATAAACGGCCGCAACGCTCCCAGGATGTATAAGGAAATCCGAGATCTGATACAAGCGCAAGGATGCGCAATCCAGAAGCGACGCGGCCTGCAGATAAAGAAGGCACTTGCACAATTCTACGGGGAAGAGCAAGCGACCAAAGACGCACTGGATTTGTGCCGCGAGCTAGTAGAAGACGGCATGAAAAACATAGCCTTAAGGCGAAGTGACACCACTCGTTCGTACAGCTCGGAAGGGCACCCGTCACCGCACGGAGTTCAGCCGACCACGCAACCCGCGACGACGAGGAAGAGCAATCTGACACCAGAACCCGCAGAGACAAAGATCGATATGCCTAAAGAGTCACCAGCAGCAGAACCAGCATACCCGCTTTTCAGATTCAAGGCACCGTATCATGAAACCAAGCCGAGAGGGGGGGACAATTCAGGGCAAGAACAGGTAGCCCAACAGCCTGAAGACCACCGCAACGCCCCGAGTCTCGCACGAAATGGACAGCCGACATGGACACAAACGATAGGCGTGCTGAGCAAACTCAGCACACGTTTCAAAGATCGTCGGATAAATACGGCGGAGACGAGGGTGAAAACTGGGAGGACATTTACACATCGTATATGTCGTGTGCATTTAGTGCATTTGAGCGGGGCGTCTCCGAGGACGCCGCGCTTCGCAACATAGAAAACGTATTGGCAGGAGAAGCAAGAACGTACTAAAAGAGAAAGCTCAAGAGTGACCCAGCGAAGTTCAAGTGCTGTGAAGATGTGAACAAGTTCGTCTTGGACACGTTTCACGGTAGGGAAGCACGAGAGGCGACCGTTGAGTACCTCAATTCGCTTTCGCTATACAACTCAGCCAACGAGAAAGGTTCGATCGTACAAGGTCTAAAGCACGTCAGAGACGAAATCATCAAACATATCAACTTAGTGCCCAAAAACTTGCAAACCGAAGAGGAGCGGAAACGTTGGCTGAAGTATGCAGTGAGCTCGTATCGATGGGCAAGACCCACGACCGCACGGGCAAGCGAACTCGACTTCGCCACGATGTATGCTACTCTGAGGGCTCAAGCCATAGAAGAAAAGAGAGCGGCAGATATGAAAGGAGGGAGCTCCAGGACCACGCGAGGCAGGATCGGCGACAAGTCTTTAGGTAACGTGCTATTCGGAGACACTTATGGGAACCCTCGACCCAACCCTCAATACAGGCCATTCGTTGACAGGAACAGCACCCCAAAGCAGTTCAACGGAAAATGCTTCGGGTGTGGCAAGTTCGGGTACCGCCGCGTAGACTGCCCAACCTGCAAGGGTAAGCGCAGCTACGCGACCGACGGCCAGAAAGCTCTGCAAGCAATAAACTCGGCCACCTCAATGGCCGCAGCAGCAGAGGTCATACAGGATCTAAAGATCCAATATGGAGAAAACTGGAACGAGGTCCTGGACGGTTCACAAGAAGGGAAAGAAGAAGAGGTAAGCGCGTCGAAAGAGGGAGAAGCAATCGCGTTCGCCATCGGGGGCGGAGGCGGCGAAGAGAGCACGGACGACGGCCTGACCGACGGTCTGGCCTATGAAGGGGATTATTCTGAGTCGGATGAAGCAGAAGGTTACACAGAGCAGTTCGAGGTGGCCTTCACCGACGGCGAACCATCCATTAAAACACGAGAAAACAATTTGGCAGATCCCGCCAAAATGCAGCAAGATTCCATCTGGATCTGCACAACACCGGGAACAGCCAATCAAGCATCGATCAATAATACAGATGGGACAAGCGTAGGGCTGAAATACAGCAGTGCATCGTCTACAGTATCCAGGATCAGAAATCGATCCGAAGAGGAGAGCAGACAAAAGGTACTGCAGATACCGAGCGAAGCCCCTCTCCTTCACACACACGCTTCGGGCCGACCGGGAAACCAGACATTTCAAGGCGCACGTCTAGACACGGGCGCGTCTACTTCGGTATGCGGGGTTCAGCAGGCGAAGGCGTACGCGCGATTTGCAGGCTTCAAGTTCAATCCAGGGAAATCGCAGAGGACATTCAGATTCGGACGCGACAAAGCGAAGAGCCTCGGGACGATAGTGGTTCGAATACCAGTCCCCGGAAATGCATATCTAGAACTGAAGGTGGACGTCGTTCATCCAAATGTCCCTCTACTCATTGGCCTCGACGCGATGGACAAGTTCACGGTGTACGTGACCAACGTCCAAAACTTGTTGGTGCACGATAAGTTGGGCTGGGCTATCCCTTTACAGCGAATCAACGGGCATGTATATTACAAATGGGAAGAAGAGGTACTCTTAACCGTAAGCGAGCTAAAGAAGATGCATCTCGGTTTATATCACCCGTCCACGGAGAAGCTGATTAATCTTATCCGTCGCGCGAACTCACAAGATGCGACAACGGAAACCAGTAAGATTTTCGAGCAGATAGCAGCGCAGTGTAGGACCTGCCAGTACCACACCCCAAGACCAACTACGTTCAAGGCTACAGTACCGGGAGGTATAGTCTTTAATCGTCAAGTAATCTTAGATCTAATGTGGATTACCAGCGAGCCGGTGCTACATCTCATAGACGCAGACACTCGATACTCTGCTGCCACGTTCTTGGGAGGGGAATCTACAGAAGACGTGTGGAACGCATTCTTGACATGTTGGGTGTCAACCTACGTAGGTTTCCTAGACTCGGTCAAGGCAGATCACGGGTCCGTATTCACCTCTGCGAAATGGAACAAGCACGCAGATAACTCAGGTATGGCCGTGGAGATAACTCCGGTGGAAAGTTCCAACTCTATGGGCGTGGGTGAAAGGTACCACGATACCTTGCGTAGAATCTACATGAAGATACACCGCGACCACCCGGCTGCATCAAGGGAGTTGAAATTGTCTCTAGCAACGAAGGCTATGAATGACACTTGCGGGCCAGACGGTTTAGTACCAAGCCTACTAGTTTTCGGCACGCTTCCCAGGATAGCAACAGGAGATATCGGCCACCCCAA